TTATGTTTGTGTTCCAAGTTGCATTGTGTAGAAATAGTAAAAATTCTAAGCTGTGCAAGAAAAAATGTGGCTGTGATTTTATGTTGGGGGTGTTTTTTTAAAGACCGCCAACAAATTACTACTATTGTCAAATACATATGGTTGAGGCCTGGTTTGAATTATTTTATAGAACGAGTTTCCATTATCGTTAGATGTCATTGCCAATTAAATTTCTTAAGAATGGGAGTGTTATCAATAAAGATTCTTCTGTTAGGGGCAAGCAGTTGTTTCTCGGTGACATGGCACTGAGATCACTTAAGTGGTTTGTCATCTTTCTACTGATTGTCATCGACGTATATCCAATGTAGATAATTGGTTTATTACAAGAGACGCAATCTTGTATATAAATATGTTTTATTAAATCAACTGACAAATTTATATATATATATATTTATTAAAGACATTTTTTATGTTTAACGTTGTTATTTATAGATACAAGTATTTAAGCAAATGCTCTGTTTATGATAAACAGTATTAAATAACATTTACCGGCCTGAATGTCCGAGAAATTTTCATGGAAAATATTCGTTCTTTGACAGGATTCGAACCTGCATCCTATACGGAACCGTCATTTACGCTGACGTGCCTTACCTCTGGGCCACAAAGAACCTTTTCGGTAAACAAGGTCGAATTTACTGCTTATAAACTTCAATCTTCCATGAATCTCGTACATTCATAACTGCTCTGGCGTATCAAATGTAAACAAATGACGTCATATATTAATGGACAAGGTCCGACAATTTTTTTTATTAAAAGACATTTTTTTATGTTTAAATGTCCGAGAAATTTTCATAGAACGAATATTTTCTATGAAAAACAGTCTCGACATTCAGGCCGGTAAATGTTATTTAATACTGTTTATCATAAACAGAGCATTTGTTAAAATACTTGTATCTATAAATAACAACGTTAAACATAAAAAAATGTCTTTAATAAATAAATTGTCGGACCTTGTCCATTTTCCAATATATATATATATATATATATATATATATATATATATATATATATATATATATATATATATATATATATTGTAAATAAAACAGACCACTTTAACGTGGAACCTTAAAGTGGTCTGTTTTTATTTAAATTTATTTGCTCTGGATTTACATTGAGCTCTCTGGATTTTATCCTCCTTGGGTTTACCCATATGGATTACCTAGTTTTTCATAAACTATATATATATATATATATATAATTGGCATGTTGCCGAATGGTTAGAACGCTCGCTTTCCGACTATGCGACCCGAGTTTGGTGGATTTGATGTTATCGGCGGGAGGCGATCCTAGCGTACCTGAAAACCACACAACATACCATCTATTGTGTGTGGAATTGGGTAGACGGAACTATTTGAGAGACGTCGAGAGTTGTAAGAGCATTGAAATGTAGTGTCAAGCGTCGTGAAAGCGAGTTTGTGGTTTGACCAACATAAATACTATTTAATTTGAATGATAACTCTAACATTTTTAGGCATTTAAAACAACATGCCTGGCCGCATACACAATTCCGGAAAATCCTCGTTAAAAACATAACTATACTTAAACATGAAAACAATAAACAAAAACTAAAAATTCTTGAAGATATATATATGTATGTGTGTGTTTCATTGAATATAACGGACAAGGAAAATCGTGTAAGTTCTTTTATTCAGTTTTTCTTAAGTTTTTAAAGCTTTTCTTTTATGGAGTGTAAGAAAGTATAGACACTGTCTGTAATTATTATTGTCCTAAGCGCTTTCGACCAATCCATCAGCCATTACAATTACTACTACTTTAATCCAGAACAACTTAAATTTGTTTCTACTTCCACACACTACAGCTTAGAGTATAAACGCAGAAAAATATATTAACAATGAACCCCTTGAAAATAACCATAGCTGTCGTGATGCCAAATTTTATACAACCTTCACAGTTAGGACCAGCCATTACAGGTACGTAAAGTCGATTCATCCATCTTCCCTTAGAATTTCACTGTTAAGTAGGAAGTTCCACTCAGAAGACAGGTTTTTCCCCAGAACCGCTACTTTGTGAAACACTCCCGAGAGGATGTTTCCGCAATCATCACAATCTTAACATTTTCAAGTCTAGTCAATCATTATCTATCCTACATATCCGCATAATATTCACTTTTTATTTCCTCTCTTTATGCCCCTCACAGAAACAGTGGCTCTTGGACCTTGTATTGAGTCAACAATATTATAGAAAATATATTATCATTATTATTTTTATTATTATTATTATTAATATTATATTATAATATTTAATATTATATTCTAATATTGTAATAAGCAAAATATATTAAGCATTACAGTTTAATATTTGTCGTTAGAAATTTAAGAAAATATGATAATATTATTACAATTCTTCCTTTTTCGTATTATCTCTTACGTGCCATATTTCTTCGAGACTTGGGGGATCATCGTTATCCACAGCTTCCTTTTTTTTGCTGTTCTCAACAATACTTGCTCCTTTACGACCCCTCTTTTGGCTTCATGGTTCTTGTTTCTCTATACACAAATACTTGTTCTTCCTCCTTGTTTCTCTTGTCAACGAAGTGCCTTTTGGGTGTTAATTTGTCCAAACCTTCATTCCTCATTATGTGTCACAAGTATTTCGGTTGTATATTTTTTTTATTTATATGAGTAGTTTTTCTTTTTGTGTGTGTGTGTGTTTCCTGTTCTCCTTCCCCTGTATTCTCAACAATTGTCAATCGAGTCACATTCTATCAAAAATACGAACGCCTCTGTATTGTGACAATCGTAGTGAAGCCATATTGATTACAGGCTCAATGTTGTAAAAAAAAACAACCTGACAGGAATAAATAGGATTTGACTTACGAAGCAGATAGATTCAAATCAAGAATTTACAGTCCAGCAGACAAAGAAAAGTAATCCATCTTTTTATTCATTTTCTTATCGTGTTATTTGTTCTTGGCGAAAACTTGAACTTTTCTAAGTATCCGCTTATTATTGTGAAAGGAGATATATTAAAGTTTCTTTATAAAATACGTAAATCAAATCACACAATCTCGTGATAAGTGTAGGTCAACAAGGTGGGATTTGTATAAAAGCTATGGCGTTTGTTTGTCTTTTTGGCTACGACGTGATTTTTAATAAAATAATGGGACCGGACGTGATTTTTAGGAATAATCAAATGATTATATATATATATATATATATATATATATATATATATATATATATGGGTAGCAACCTTTCTTTAAAACATATTTCATTAAATATGACGGACAAGCTGAAAACACCTAGTTATAAGAGAGGCCCTGTACATCAAACATCTCACCTCCTCCACCATCAACCTTAATTTGTCTAGCAATGGTAACGCGGTGCTGAAAGTCTTTTAAAAATAGAAAGTCGCCACTCGAAGTTCAGCCATACCCAACACACGACGGCTCGGAATTAACGCTCCTACTATAATTCACGAATAATACAACTCACATAGTCAAAACATAAGGATAAATTAACAACACCAAAAAAACACGCAGACACACTTGAAAAGGACTATGGAGGTGTCCGAAAGCGCTAGGGACAATCGACGATATGGACAGTTTTCGTACTCCCGCCAAACGAAAAAAATGTAAGAACGCTGTAAAAAAATAAATTTTAAAAAAATTTACAAATTAATGAGATTTTCCTTGTTCGTCATATTTAACGATATATATATATATATATATATATATATATATATATATATATATATATATATTACGAAATGAAAATTGTCTTGAACGGTCACTCTTCTAGATCGTTTTGCTTTTATGTAGATGCTCTCACCTCCAAGGCTGTCCTTTGACCTACATTGTTCCTAATTTTAATCAACAGCATTCCCGATGTCACCAGTTCTCAACTCGATATATAAGCTGATGACACAACGATCTACTCCTGTCTTATAAGTAAGTTTGATCGGTTCGATAAGGTCAGATTGGTAGATGATCTCACAAATGACCTACAATCTGCTATTAACTGAATTAAGAAATGATTTGTTCATTTTACGGCCTCAAGAACAAAACTTCCCTCTCTTACTCGTATGAGAGAACCCTTCCTGCCTTCCATCAGCATGGCTGACGCTACCCTCCAGGAAAGTGACTTATTGCGCCTTCTCGGGCTTTCTCTACTGACATGAAGGGAAAAGTTGGTTGTCTGTGCTAGACAATTTTTTCTCGCCAGAATCTATCTTTCATATTTGTAAGCCTACCATTCCTCCATTCTTTGAATATTGCTGCCACATCTGGTCTGGTGTTCCCGCTATTTATTTGGAATTTCTTGATTAAATCCAAAGAAGAATCTGCAATGCTATTGGTCCTGACGTGACATCTCGGCTTCACTCACATTCCCAGTGCCATAACCTAGCTTCTATGTGCCTTTTCTATAAATACTTTTATGATATTTGTTCTGATAAACTTTCCTTTATGCTACTTAGATTTTATGAATTTAAGTGCAGTACTAGATTGGCAGCAAAGTCTCATCATTTTATAGTTGAACTGGCTAGATGTAACCGTAAGTTCTATGATAACAATCTCTTTTCCTGCACTTCTCACTTGTGGAATTCTCTTCCGGCTTTTTGCTTTTCAGCCAACTTTGATTTTTAAAAATTTAAATGCAATGTCAATCGTTATCTACTGTCTTCTAGATTCCTCTTCTTTTATTTTTCACACTCCTTAATGTCTTTTGTCATTCTTTTTTTACTCAGTAACCACTTTTGTTTTAGTGGCTTTATTGCCTTGCTTTGTGTGGAATTGATATATATATATATATATATATATATATATATATATATATATATATATATATATATATATATATATACACACACACACACACACACACACACACACACACACACACACTTGGAATTAGGAAAATTTCTGAAACTTATATACTTTTTTCATTTTGATGCACAAATCTTTATAGGTATTCATTTATCAATTCATGACTTACAGATTGACACACCAGTTCTCATACGATCACCGAAGTTAAGCAATGTCGAACCTGGTGAGTATCTAGATGAGTGACCTCTTGGAAATGCCAGATGCTGTAAACTTGGATGTGTGGGTGGTGTAATGGATAATGGTTCGAAATTTGAAATCGAAGAGACAAGTTCCAATTAAAGTCGGGTTCGTTATGTTCACTTACGCGCAAATACCCTTGGGAAAGATATGAATTCACCTCTTCTCCCTCAGCTATGAGTTAATTACTAGATCAGTAAATCATTATCACCCCCTAAAAATCTTGCAATCTAAAAATTTGTCTGGCTGTAAATAACCAACAAATGATTGACAGTCTATCCCTCCTGGTTCCTGTTTTGCACAATCAACTGATATATCTTAGTAATTCGACGCTACCCACAATATTTTTACTGCATTATGAATCTCGAAATTCTTTTTTTATTAAACCCTTTCTTGCTAGGAAATCTTCTTTAATTCTTCAAGTGATGTGTTAACTATCAGTTTAACTGTTATTCTAATCCACTTACTTTTCCAAATAAATAAATCCACTCTCACGCACGCCATTCTTTGAAAAGAACCAACGCCATGCGTTGCAATGGTAGCGATTATTTGCATATCCATTATTATAGGTTTTGAAATTCCTGCTACAGGTATGTTATCACGAGCAGACCTGTTCATCAAAGCCATTACTAGTTGAGAAGCTCTGCTGGTAAAATAACGGGATAATAATAATAATAATAATAATAATAATAATAATAATAATAATAATAATAATCTGCACTGAAAAATTTGCAACTTCTACGGGAAGGAAACTGAAAGAAACTGGTATGAACATCACCCAGACCCGGTCACGGAGATAGGACCTGTTACAATTCTATGGGACTACACAATACACACTGACAGAACAATTAAAGCCAACCGCCCAGATATTGTTATTAAAGACCACAAACAAAAAAGTGCCTCCTTATTGATATGGCAGTCCCTGCTGACTGCAATGTATCTTTGAAGATATTCAAAAAGCTGTCAAAATACAAGGACCTTGAAATCGAAATCTCAAAAATGTGGCACATGAGAACAACAACAATCCCTGTTGTAGTTGGAAAAGATTCCAGTAGACTAATTGAAGGGATTCCTGGAAATACATGCCTCAAAGCGATACCAAAAAATGTTCTGACAAGTACAGGCCACACTTTACGAAGGGCTTTATCTAATAATTTTTTTTTCAGTGGAAAGTGTCATGATGCCATTTCTAACCTTAAGTCCCTGGGCGGGACTTGGAAAGAAATGTGTAAACTCCAGAAATCAAAGGAAATAATAATAATAATAATAATAATAATAATAATAATAATAATAATAATAATAATACAGAAACGATGGCAAGATAAGCCTCTTCGTGGTCAATATTCTGCTCGTACCAAACAAGCTAATGTAGACAAACCCCCATACCCAGGCTAGGTAGTGCAGGGTTAAAAACCGAAACTGAAAGTTTTATTCTTGCTGCACAGGACCAATGCTTGCTAACTAGAAATTACCAAGCACGCACACTGAAAAATTGTTGACCCCCAAATGCAGATTCTGTGATAAATATCTAGAAACAATTGACCATTTTGTATCAGGTTTCACGGTGTTAGCATCAACTGAATATAAACGTCGGCATGATAGAGTGGACCAATATCTGCTCTGTTGTATGCACATCCTTTACGAGAAAGAAACTGCAAGAAACTGCTATAAACCTCACCCAGACCCGATTCCAGAGATAGGAGACCTGTAACAATTTTATGGGACTGTAGAATATACACACATACCATACAATCAAAGCTCATCACCCAGACATCGTGATCAAAGACTACTAGAAATGAATGTGCTTTCTTATTGACATGGCAGTCCCTGCAGATTGTAATGTATCTTTGAAGATCTTCAACAAACTATCAAAATACAAGGATCTTGAAGTGGAAATCTAAAAAATGTGGCACCTAATGACATCAGTAATTCTAACTGTAGTTGGAACTCTTCTATTGATTGGAAATGATTCCAGTAGACTCACTGAAAGGATTCCTGGTAGCCCATGCCTTAAAGAAATAAAAAAAAAAAATTGTACTCACAAGTACAGCTCACAAATTACGAAGGGCTTTATCTATATAAAATATATGTGATCTTAGGTTTGGATTTTTTACAAAAATGATCAGTGAAAAATGTCAAGAAGGCATTTCTGACATTAGATCTCTTGTTGGGACCCGGAAGGAAATGTGCGTACAACAGAAATCAAAGGAAATGAATTTATTATTAACTGATATGAATTGTCTACAAGATTTGAAGATTTCTAAAAAGAATTTCAAAAACTGTCAAAATATAAGGACCCGCAAATCGAAGTAACAAAAATGTGGAAACATAAAACTACTTTTATCCATTTTCTGATAGGGGCGATCGGTATGATAAAGAATAGTACCCAAAATCATGTGAGCAAAATTCCTGGACTCGTCAGCACCTCAGATTTACAAATGATTATTCTGTGCGGACCTGCACATATCATCTGCAAAACTTTGTCCATCTAAACGAAATGCCCCAAATATATACCTAGCATAGATAATTCTCCCTTTGAACTCATTGACCCCGGAGTAATTAGTCACTCAAAATTACTCTCTGGCAAGATGATACCACACATAATAATAATAGATATTAATTGTTAAAAAATTCTTAAAAGTTGAATTTTAAAGTTTAAGTTTTCAAACCTTTAAAGGTTCTATTCAAATGTTTAACATTTCTTAAACTACCAGAATTTTCTTTCTTTTAACATTTACAAAGATTTTCCAATATCTTAACACTGACATTTTTTTCAGATTTTCTTGTTTTTGCTTCGTTTTCAGAATTCTTAAACCAAAAATATTGCTATTAATTATGTTATGATGATTTTCTGAACGTAGCTTATATGCGGCACAAAACGGGAAGTATGGGGCTCACAGTGAGGATCGAACTCACTACTCAGTAGCAATTGTTCTAGCGAGACAAGCTTGCTAACCATTACACCACGTCCAGGTACCCACAGATTTTCTACACGTTGCTTAGATGTGGCACAAGGCCGAAAGTGTGGGGCGCCCAGTGAGGATCGAACTCACTATATAGTTGTAAATGATCTTTCGATCAGATGCCTTAGCGTCATGGCATTTTCCACGGAGCAATTTTTTTAAAAAAAATTTAAAAAATAAAATAAAATAACATATATTTTACATAGATAAAGCCCTTTGTAAGTTGTGAGCTGTACTCGTGATAATAATAATAATAATAATTATTATTATTATTATTATTATTATTATTATTATTAGTATTATGAAAATGAAGAATGTGCCAAAGTTTCCAGTTTTTTATTTTCTTGTAAACTAAAACCGGTTTATCGCTGGAAAATTTTATATCTACATAATAAAATAAAACGATCACGTAATTAATATATTTAATAATTGTTCAGGTCTTGTCGTTGTGTCTACAAGAACCGAAAGTAATTATAAATGAATTGATAATAAATCACTTCTTATTGGTGTCTTTTTGAAGTAGATGACACTGTTTTCGCCTACGACAAATTATGAACTAACATGAATTAATTCCCACCATTACAATTGTCACATATGTCCGGAGCTGCCAATGCGTTTTCTTGGTCTAATGTCGATGGTCTAGACGTTGCCCCATCTGATTGTAACAACGAGAACTTTTATTACGGTAGCTCTTATCAGCCAGTCAAGAGTAGCTAATCACCTGGCGTGATTACTCAAAATTTACTAAATTTGAGAAAATTTTAGTGATTGATTCAGTGATTCGTTTTCTACTGCGTATCAACCCTTTACAGGTTATTTAAAGCCAGAAAATATTTTTAGATTGTAAGAAGTTTTAAAATAATAATGATTTAGTCATAGCTTAATATTTAACACATAGTTATGAGGAGAAGAGATGGCTTCATACCTTTCCAAAGGGTATTTGCGCGTCATTGGAATTTAGCTCATCGAATAACAATTCCGAACCATTATTCACTATAGCCCCGTACATCCAAGCTTATAGTACCTTTATTCCCAAGCGATTATCTATTTAGATACTGACCCGGCTCGACGTTGCTTAACTTCGGTGATCGTACGGCAACCGGTGATTCAACATATGTCCGTGAGCCGAAATTTTAGTGAAGAAGCACCATATTTTAAAATGGAGAGCACCTATCTATCTAGACAATCAGTATTTCAGAACCTGGCCTTTTTAATTTAAGCTCGAATATCGAGGGTGTGCGAGTGGTGTAATTGACGAATCTCTAATTGCAGGATATCTACCAACCGCCCCACGCGGTCAGATGTGGCACAAGGCCGAATTTAATGTGGGGTATCCGAGCTCGTAGGCTCGGCAAAAAATTCCCCTTAGACCTGTATAAAATGGTGTCGGGTAGCTGTTTCCCGAAACGAGACTATGCCCTTCGACATAGACACGTCTAGGGACCTTCTCTGCCCGGAAGCAGAGAGTTTGACCACCACAGCTGGAGACAAATCTCTGACTACAGGCCAACATGCAGTATTTACTACTAAATACCCATTATCGTCCGTAGTTATGCTACAACAAAAAGGTATAGATCCATTTCACCATTTTTCCCCAGAAAAATCAGTGTTATTCTCAAAAATAATTGTTAACGCAATATACACTTGCAGGAAAAAAAGAATTATTCATAAAACCCAAGATATTTTTCGGTTCAAAATAACCCACAAAGGGTTGAAAAGCCGTAAAAATCAAACCAATCAATCAAGAATCGAATATCTATCTATCACTAACACTGACTGGAAATATGTAAGTATTTCAGTCCCGAAGCAGGCCTTAGTCGTTGATTTTAGTTTTTAATTAAGTTAAGCCCAAGCAAGTTATTAAAACCACTGAGACACAAGGGGTTACTGGATGTGGAACAATTAGAAAACAAAAAACACCACTAAGGAGCGAGTACAGTAGAAGAGTAATCAGGAGGACCGTAGATAATGAATGACATTGCATTTAAAGTTGACTGGAAAACATTGAGCCGGAAGGTGGTTCTACAATTGAGAAGTGCGAGAAAATGAATTGTTAGCATAGAACTTAT